AAGTTGTCATTTATATCGCGATGCATCGTTTCTAACATATTTGCAGTGGTAAAAAACTATTTATGGAGACCCGAGGAAAAACTGGGATTAAAGTCCAAAACCTTGCTTGAAAGCTTGAAATAACCTAACAAATCAATAGGGGCTAAAGCAGTTCCATTAACGACAAATTAAATTCACACAATCTAACTAATTTGTGCACGCTTATTCTTAAGCCATATCCATTTTGCTGTCAGGAGTGGGCGAGGCTGACGCGAGTGAACGAGCGCTGCTGCACACATGCACGCTAAACAGACTGAGCGCAATTGAATAGGAGCGCAATAATTCTGAGTAAAATATACATTTTGCTAAAAAAATTGTTTTTGGATATTAAATGTGTCTTTTGTAGAATTTTAAACCTACATATAAAGTGTATTTTTATGATAGCAGTAACTAGCCTGGCTTATTTGGTTAACTTGTTTTATGAAACAGGCCTCGAGGCATTAAAAGTGATCATATTTTCTCCAATGCATCGAATCACATTGTGTTGAATCGAATCGAATCGAATCGAATCGAAAACAGATGAGATGCACATCTCTAATATATATATATATATATATATATATATGATCGCTTTTTCAAAATTAATTTGTGTCTATATTCTGAAGGTTTTTACTGAAGGATTTGTTCATATATCACTCAACTGATAAATATTTAACATTTTAATCCTAAAACATGGTGAAACGATTATTTTCTGGCTGTTGACAGTATTTCATGATTTATGGAGTGATAAAAAGAGAAATCCGAAATCTCCTCTGTAAAAATCTTTAACTCCAATATGTCAACAAAATTAAACAAGAATGTTGAACCTGGCTTTATCCAGCGTTCAGATTTATCTTCTGGAAATGTATGCGAATTAGTGCATTTTTACTACACAATGCCGCATATTTAAACATAACATTTCAGAAAACTTGTAATACAAACATTTTTTCTTAATTTACTGTAGTTGATCAACTGGGTAAGTATGGTGATATACTATTATTATGAATTTTTTACCCATTCACCTGTACTATCTTTCCTGGAAAGATCATGGCTTCATTTTTGGTAGCAGGTTGTAATTAAATATATTTTCTAAAAGTCCTGAAGCTTCTCCAGATCATTTAAAGTATCTCAAGTACTGGAATCAAAACCATCTCACCATCCTGTTTAAGATGTAATAACATTTTACAGGGTGTGAAAACAAAAAGCAACATTGTTATGTGAGCTGCATTTTCACACGTTGTTGCATGAACAGATCTCAACTTTATGCGTAGACAGAAAGTGTGAACGCACACTCATTTAAGTAAATTACTGTTATTATTCACAGTGTTGAACGTAAACAGCTTCACCTCATTATCTCTCCACACTAACCTACTGCTTCTGTGTTTACAGCCATTTACGAAGCGTCGTGTGAGGCGTACAAACACAAAGGAAACACGTCTGGCTTTTACTACATCGACGTGGATGGAAGCGGCCCCATCAAACCTCAGCTAATCTACTGCAACATGTCAGGTGAATCTCACGCAGCGAAGCCGAAGTGATTAAATCCCTTTAAACACTCCGTAATTGGGACTTTAATCCACAGCTTTTGATCCTTCACGCACCATGTCACACCCCGCGGAGGAAGTCAGCTGTGACACTCGCTGAAAAACACACTTTAGAAGAAGCCGACAGATCAACCTTTGAGCCCGTCTGTGTGACGTTCACTTGCACAAATAAAGTTTTCAAAGGCTTTTAAGGCCTGATGTCACAGAAGAAGCTTTTGAAGTTGAATGGCTCTTTAGAAAAGCATCACGTCACCTTTGATAGATCCTCACTTCTCCTTTGTTAAAGTCAATATGAAATCCAAATTGACTCTATTGACTTTCTTAATACACATTGCTAGACTTATTGCTAGACTTATTGTTTAAATTCTAAAAAGTATTTCTCTTGTATTTCTTCCTAACCTTCTCTAAAACTACTTTCCTTCTTCATCCAATAGTTCCCCATGGTTACATATATATACTGTATATATATTTTCTCATTCAGTATCCTATTTCACATCAGTGTTATTTTACATAATCAAACGGAGACAGAAACTAGGTCAAACAGAGCACATGTTGGAAGAAAACACAACAAAACAGGTCCATGAGGTGTGACAGTTGGCCCCCCTCCCCGAAGGCATGACCTCGTGCCACAGAGATAAGACTTAGGAGGAGATAAGACTTAGGAGGAGGATAAAGGAGTGGATGTGGGATGGTGACAGGGGATGGCAAAGGGCCGGCAGGAAGGCAGGAGGAGGTTCAGGAGGTGGCCGGATGACCTGGAGGAGGACGACCAACAGAGTGGTCCAACGGAGGGAGGATCCAGGGAGGAGACAGAAGAGACCAGGGTGGATCAGATGGAGGGAGGAGCCAGGCAGAAGACAGGAGGAGTCAGGGCGGACCAGACGGAGGGAGGAGCCAGGAAGGAGACAGAAGGGACCAGGGTGGATCAGATGGAGGGAGGAGCCAGGGAGAAGACAGGAGGAGCCAGGGCAGACCAGACGGAGGGAGGAGCCAGGGAGGAGACAAAAGAGACCAGGGTGGATCAGATGGAGGGAGGAGCCAGGGAGGAGACAGAAGAGACCAGGGTGGATCAGATGGAGGGAGGAGCCAGGGAGAAGACAGGAGGAGCCAGGGCGGACCCAGATCACAGCCATGATGCCGACCCACGGTGGAGCCGACGGAGGGAGGAGCCATGGTGGAGGAAGGGCTGACGGCTCCAGGGGTCTGACTGACAGCAGCGGAGCAGGTGGTGGTGGAGCCCGAGGCGGAGACGGAGAGCAGATTAGCCAGGGCGACGGGGAGGATCCGGAGGTCCAAGGCAGAGCAGATGGCGCCGGCGACCGAGGCGGAGACGGGGATCCGGAAGGCTGCGGTGGAGCCGGAGCGACAGAGGACTGAGGAGGAGCCGGAGGGAATGAGGAGCCTGACAGAACCGGAGGGACGGAGGGTTGAGGTGTAGCCGGAGGAGTGGAGTCCCAAAGCGGCGGATGGTCGACGACAGACAAAGGCAGAGCCGGAGGGACGGGGGAGCCCGGCGGAGCTGGTGTACTGACGGGCCACGGTGGAGATGAGGGAGCTAGGAGCCATGGTGGAGCCGCTGGGTCGAAGGGCCGAGGTGGAGTCCGGGACAGAGTGATGGTGGGCTGGGCTCTGGGTCTGGCTGTGTTCTGGATCGGGGGTAGACGCTCTCCAGACACCAGATGATTGCCTCCCTCCAGCACAGTCCGGTGGTGTCTGGGAGGTCGGTGAGCCGATGGTGATTAGCCCTGATCCAGAACAGTGAGTTCAGCGTTGCGTCGTCGAAAGCTGTTAAAACGGCGAGCTGGCTGAACTCAACAGCATAGTCCAAAAGGGGAAGGTCTTGATGGGCTAGGGCGATGAATAGGTCGGTGATATCCATAACTAAAAATAAAAACTGACAAAAACGGAAAACAAAATGAGGGGCCTTACTAATTCTTTGTGGTCCAGTATTCTGTCACGCTACTGCTGTTAGGGAGACGAAGACATGACGAAGATTATAACAACAAATCCTTTTAATGGTAATTCACACGAAGAAGAGGGTCTAACACACAGGGTAACATCAACAACACTGGTCAAAGGAAGACAGGACAGACTACACTTTAAATACGGGAGCAAATGAAGATAATTAACCAGACACACCTGAACCAAATGACATAATCAAACAGAGACAGAAACTAGGTCAAACAGAGCACATGGGGGACGAAAACGCAACAAAACAAGTCCATGAGGTGTGACAATACTGTTATAGTATTAATATTTGTTAATTTATTAATATTAATAAGAACAAATAAAGAAATTAATAATGATAGCACAAATTAAAAATAACGACAGGTCTTCGAATTGAATAAATTGCTTTTTAGTTTTTCAGGTAGGTCTAACATTAGGGTTAAGATATTTAACCATTTAATTTATTTATTTATTTATTTATTTATTTTACCAATTATCCAAATAATGTTTAGTCCTAGAGGCGACATCAGAAATGGATATTATATAATAGATGCTTTTTTTAATATTTTAGCAATTTAAAAATATTAAAAAAGGATTTTTTTACACGGCACCCTTGCTCTTGACAGACGGCACCCCGGTTGGGAAACACTGTGCTAAATGACTAAATGTAAATGTTATATTTTGAATTAGTTATTTTTGTATTTTCAGTTTCCATTTAAAGGGGTCATATGATGCGATTTCAAGTTTTCCTTTCACATCACAAACACATACCAGCTTCATCACTGTGTCTGTCACGCGACTCTGTTCCCCTTTCGGGCTCTGTCTTTACATTTATTTTGAAAGATGAAGCTCGCGATTATGGTAAGGGGCGTTACATTTCCGACGAGTGCTTGCGGTGTTCGGCCAATCACAATGCACTGGGTCAGCTGGCCAATCAGAACAGACTGCGCTTGTCGGAAGGAGGGACTTTGTAGAAAACTAAGCGTTTGAGAGAGGCGGGGCATAGAGGACCTACAATAATGTACAGTATTTGAAAAATAATGTGTTTTTTGAACATTAAAGCATGTCAACATATTCTGTTACACCAAATACACAAAATAATGATCTTTAAAAAAGCATCATATGACCCCTTTAAATTGTACCTAATGTAAGTATTATTGCTGTGTGTTTTAGTCATTTTTATTAATATATACTTTTGTATACATTATTACAGTATTTATTAATATTTTGAATTCGAAAATGGTTCTTTATAACTATTCTTTGAACCCAGGAACCGTTATTTTTATGATTATTTAGTATATATCACATGCTTAAGGTTTTTTTTTTTTTATGAATGTTCTATGACTTTTTGAAGGACAATTGACTGTTGCACAGGTGAAATCGACAGTGCTCTGAGCTAAAACATAGTGTGTCATTTTCGCCTTTTCATCGTTCAAATCCCTCTTTTCCCTGCAGATAAAGCATGGATGGTGATCCAACATAATAACATGGAGCTCACGAAATTAAAAGTGTCCTCTGGGATAGATCAGCATTTAGCCCACTTTAACTATTCTGCCGACGCAGAGCAGATCCAGGCGATAATTACCCAGGCGGAGTACTGCGAGCAGGAGCTCTCCTACCACTGCAAAAAGTCACGGCTCTTGAACACACCAGGTAAGCCCTTTTTATTAGGAATATCGATCGCCCCTCCCTATGAAAGGTCAGGCTTATTAAAACCTCGCTCCATCCGCAGACGCATGACGCTTAAGCAAACGACTCAAATTGATTGTTATGCTCTTGGTTACGGACAGCTCAGTTATTTCCCCGCTTTTTTTTTTCTGCATTAAATTAATTGAAAGTCACCTTTAGAGTGGATTAATTATGTGCATTTGCACCTTTAAAGAGCTTTTATCATGTTTGTTTGTTTGTTTGTGTGGGTTTGTCATGGGCGGTTTGGTTCGGTGTCTATCACAGGTCGAGGCGGGTGATAACAGTTCTCGTAGTCTCTCAAATAAACACGAAACATCCGCGCACATCGTAATTACATCCATTGGTTGTCACATTACCAGAGTTGTTGATGAGACGAGGAGAACAGTGTCAGGCGTAAATAAGAAATGTTGGAAATGTCAGATGAATAGTAATGAAAAGAACGATTAAACCTGGACAGATGCATGCGAGACTGATGGAAAATCACTCATGAGATCTCTTTAACATCTTAATGCTTTCTCTTAGACAGCAATGAGATTAAAAGCAGAGTAAATAGATACGTGTTCTGCTTCTCAGGTGTTTCGTATGAGAAAAAGACCTCAGTAATCTCACATATCATCTCAAAATGTCTCAAATTGTGCTCATATTTGTCAAGATCACAAAAATATCTCTTTATAAGCTCAAACTTTTCTCATCAAATTCAGGACCGGTTGATCTGAACTATTGACTCTTTTGTGTCTATCTTTATTTCTTTTGAGGAACTATAGAAACATCTCGCATCCTGCTTCTCAGGTGTTTCTCATGAGAAGATCCGAGTAATCTCACACATTATCTCAAAATGTCTCAAATTTTGTTCATATTTGCCAAGATCCCAGAGTCTGCAACAAAAAGTCAGCGATCTCAAACATTTCTCATCAAATACAATACATCAAATCAAATGACCTAAAATGTTGTTTTTTGTGTGTGTCTGTAGAAACATTATTTCCAGCTTCTCAGATGTTTCTCATGAGAAAAAGATCCCAGTAATTTTACACATCTTTTGGAGATCTCAGATTTGCCAAGATCCCCAAGTCTGGAGTCAAAAGCCAGAAATCTCTGAATTAACTCAAACATTTCTTTTGAGGAGCTTCAGTAGAAAAATCTCATGTCCTGCTTCTCAGATGTTTCTCATGAGGAGAAGACCCCAGGAGTCTCACTCATCGTCTTAAAATGTCTCAAATTGTGCTCAGATTTGCCAAGATCCCAAAGTCCACAACTAAAACTCAAAGAGCTTAATATGTACGCAAACATTTCTCATCAAATTCAGGATCAAATGATCAGAATTATTGACTCTTTTGTGTCTGTTCTATTTCTTTTGAGGAACTTTAGTAGAAACATCTCATTTTCTGCTTCTCAAATATTTCTCATGAGAAAAAGACATTAGTAATCTCACACATTATCTCAAAATGTCTCAAACTATACTCAGATCTACAAAGACCCCAAAGTCTACAACCATTATTTGTCTTTTTATTTCTTTTGATGAAACTTGGCATCTCATTTGCTGATTCTCGGTTGTTTCTCATGAGTAAAATAGCCCAGTAATCTCATTTCTAATCAAATTCAGGATCGAATGATTTCAATTATTGACTCAATTTGTGTCTGTTTTTTTTTTTTCTTTTGAGGAACTTCAGTAGAAACGTCAAATTTTTTGTTTCTCAGATGTTTCTCATGAGAAAAAGACTCCAGTAATCTCTAAATGTCTCAAAATGTGCTCAGATTTGCCCAGATCCCAAAGTGTGTAACCAGAACTCAGTATAAACTCAAATATTTCTCATTAAATTCAGGGTCAAATGATCTGAACTACTGACTCATTTGTGTCTGTTCTTAATTCTTTTGAGGAACTTCAGTAGAAACATCTCATTTACAGCTTCTCACAAGAAAAAGACCGTAGTAATCTCACACATCATCCCACAATGTCTCAAATTATGATCAGATTTGCCAAGACCTCAAAGTGTGCAACCAAAAACCAGAGATCATCAAATTTGGGGTCAAATGATGTGAACTATTGACTTGTTTGTGTCTATTTTAATTTATGTTCCGGAACTTTAGTAGAAACATCTCATTTTCTGCTTCTTAAATATTTCTCATAAGAAAAATACCTAATCTTACACATCATCTCAAAATGTCTCAAACTGTACTCAGATCTACATTTCTCATCAAATTCAGGGTCAAATGATCTGATCAACTGATTCATTGGTGTCTATTTTTTATTTCTGTTGCAAAATTGGTAATGGAAAAATTACTAAAAACTCAGTCGTATTAGTTATGAAAGCCTGTTTGTTTTCCATCATCTCAGTGTGATAGTGTAGCGCGGTTGCGTCAGTCTGATGATGAGCGCTGTGTGTGTGTGTGTGTGTGTGTGTGTGTGTGTGTGTGTGTGTGTGTGTGTGTGTTTTATTGCAGACAGCGCTCCGTTCAGCTGGTGGGTGGGCCGGTTGGGTGAGGCGCACATGTACTGGGGCGGCGCGGTGCCGGGCAGTCAGCAGTGCGCTTGTGGCCTGCAAGAGAACTGCGTGCATCCCGAACACTTCTGCAACTGTGACGCCGACAGCAAAGAGTGGTACGACACACACTCACATGACTGTCAGCAGCACGTCCAGCTCATATTACAACCCCAAACCACACTTGTTTAAAGAAAATGAAGCCTACTTTCAGGAACATTGAGATGTTTTTGTGCATTGTAGCATTGTTTTCATGGCAGTTGCAGACATTCAAACCCTCTGAATTCTTAAAACTGTAATGCATTGAGATGTGTTCGTCTTTCAAACAGTATGAATCAGTCTCATTTAAACTTCAGATGCAACAAACAGCATAAGGCTTGGTAGATTTGATTCATTTCTCAGAATCAGCTTAATCAAATGAATCAGTCTGATTCAGTGAATTGATTCAAATCTCTGATTTGACGATGCATTTTTAAATCCAAATTCAACAATGTCTGTTTAGTTGAACTGATCACTCTCTTAAAGGCACAATATGTAATTTTCGCCGCTGGAGGGCGCGTATTCAAAATAAACAAATAGACAAAG